TAGGAAAAAAGGAAGACAGAATTTGCAGGAAGTATATGAAATTAAGAATGAGCAATCTTCCTTCTACCTCTTTTCTTTTCTTTTTTTTTTTTTTTAAATCTTTTATTATTTAAAAATATATAAAATATCAATAAAAATAGTAAAAATGTATAAAAATTAATTAATAATAATAAATTTACATTTTGTATCAAGTTGTGTGGAAGGATTGTTATAGGAATCCTAATCTGTCGATTATCTGAATAAGTTTTTACACAAAGGGGTCCCTTCTTTTTTTTTAAAAAAAAAATTTCCCTCTGTTCTAACTATTTGATGAGCACAAAGACATCATCACCATTCAATTTCTCGTGGGAGGCATTATTCCAATATTTTAAATATGTTGATTAATTATTTTGAAAACTATCCATTATATTAAATATTTTATTTATGTAAATTACGAATGTTATTTTTGTTATTAATTTAATATTTACAAATATTTAATTAGTGTTATTCTTAGGAATATATTTATATTCAATTTGAACTTATTCTGTTGTTTTGTTTTTTCTGTTTCTTTGTTGTTTTTCCTTGATTTTCTCCACTTTTATGCAACCATTATATCCTACGAGTTGTGTATATATAGTTTACAGAAACAATGAAAAATATATCAAATTCCAGCAGATTTTATGTGGTATCAGAGCCATCAAAAGCTTAATCTATGGCATTTGACGATTCCACTCCAAATCCAACCCGCAGTAGTAGTAATGAAACTATTGACCTTTCATCCATTGACCAGTACAATAATCCCTTTTATCTTCATCCATCAGATAATCTTGGTAATATCCTGGTGTCTATTCTGCTTATTGGCGACAGTTATGCTACTTGGCGTTGTGCTGTCATTATTACTCTCACAGAAAAAAACAAATTAGGTTTTGTTGATGGGAAGCTTCCTCGACCAGCTAGTGATTCTCCTAATTTTCAATCATGGACTGGTTGTAACACCATAGTTATTTCTTGGCTGCTCAATTCAATCTCCAAAGAAATTTGTGGAAGTATCATTTATGCAAGACCACGCAAGCACAATATGGGAGGAATTTGAAGAACATTTTTCACAAGGAAATGCGATGAAAGTCTATGAGCTCGACGAGCTATTGTGATGAATTCTCAAGAGCAACAATCTGTTCCAGCATATTATAATAATCTTAAAGCACTTTGGGATGAATTGTCTTCTTATGTTGTTTTACCAACTTATACTTGTGGAGTCATGAAAGGATTCTCCGACATCCAACAACAAGAGAAGCTAATGCAGTTCTTCATGCGGCTTAATGACTTTTATTCCTTAGTCAGATCACAAGTCTTGTTAAAAGGATCCTTTTTCGCCTGTCAACAAAGCTTATTCTCTTATGCTACGAGAAGAAAGGTAATGTGATATTCTTTCCAAAACATCACAAAATGGGAATTTTGCTGCACCAACCATTTATTCACAGAAGGTGAGTGATGATTCATCTTCAAATTTCTCAAATGCTCAACGTGCAAATTATAGATCTAAATCGAGGAAAGGAAGACCATTTTGTGATCATTGTCAAAAATTGGGACACACAAAAGATCATCGTTATGTTCTTCATGGATATCCTAGCACTCAACGTGCTAATCATGCTCAAATTAGTCCAGTTGCTAATTCTCCTACAACAGCACCACCTCTTACTCTAGAGCAACATAATCATCTGGTTTCAATGCTTGGATCTAATTCGAATTCTTTACAGTCTGAGAATTTAACTCTTCACCTTCTGTCAATTTTGCTGCTAATTTAGCTAGTAAGCGTCTTTTTGATACTTACATGTGGATTGTTGATACAGGAGCTACAAACCATATGACTTGTTCTTTAAATAATCTTTCTAATCCTATAAACACTTCTTATCTTCCTCCTATCAAGCTACCTATAAGTGAAGTTGCACCCATTAGCCATACCGTTGATGTTATTTTTTCTTCATCCTTTTTTCTTAAAAATGTTTTTTTGTGTACCTTCCTTCAAACACAACCTTCTTTCTGTTACTGCTTTTTTTTTTTACCTTTAATTGTATTGCCATATTCCAACCAATCTTTTGTTTCTTTCAGGACCTATCAACTTGGAGGATGATTGGAGTGGCGAAGCGTGAGGGAGAGTTGTATCTATTTCGGTCAACCTCTTTTGCTCTTAATGTTTAACTTCCTTCTACTTTTGACATTTGGCATTGGTGTCTTGGACATTTGTCTCGCCTTAGATTAAATGTTCTTTCCCAATTCAATAAAGAAATTGTTAGTAATTAGAATTGTTTATGTGAAATATGTCCTTTGGCAAAACAACATCATTTGCCCTTTTCTTTTGGTAAAATATCCACTTTTACCCTTTTTGAATTAATTCATTTGAATGTTTGGGGATGTTTTCCTCTAAATTCCTTGTTTGGTGCTAAATATTTCCTTACAATTGTTGATGATTTTTCTTGCTGTACTTGGGTTTATCTTACAAATTTTCTTTTGGTAAAATATCCACTTCTACCCTTTTTGAATTAATTCATTTGGATGTTTGGGGATCTTTTCTGGCTAAATTTAATAAATAGTTTATTAATTATATGATTTATTTCAATTTATTTTAGAAACAAGTTTTTCTTTTAAAATGATTTATAAACTATCAATTTTGTTTCAAAATGGTCTACTTAACAAACATTCCATTAAGTAATTAATGAAATTCTTTCTAGTTGTTGACAAGCTGCTCTTAAGCTTTTGAAAAATGTTAAATTTAGTATATATATTTTTGTTTTTTGTAATATTTTGTTTTTTAAATTTAAATTCTATGTCAAATTTAATAATTAATTAAGATAATAATTTTAATTTACGTTGATCAAGATTCTAATTTTAATTTATAACAATTAATGTTATAATTTAAATTTTATTATTTCTTAAAAAACTTAATATCACCATTAAATTGCATATTTTTTCACTACTTTATATAGAAAAATAAAAAATTTTATTTTTATTTTTAACACTAATAATACATGCATGATTTTGATTTGGGGATTTATAAAATTGAAATGAATTTTTATTTTTTCAGATAACTTTAATTATATGTGGGTGCTCATTTAATTAAATTAAATTTTGGAAGGGTTTATTTATTAAAAATATTAATATTTA